AATGTATTAACATTTGGTTTCGATTAATCATTTAGACAGATCCTAAGGAGAATAATATGCAGAAGTACACAATTTTTGTTAGTACCTATACAGCACATTTTCGTATTTTTCTAAACATTACCTTGTTACTTTTTTCATTATTTACTTTATTATTAATTGACTAGATAGAAATCTTGTAACGACGCCTCGAGAAAATATTTATTTTCGTGATTCATAATTCTATCTATCTTAGACAACAATACTTAGTGATGTACTCAGCAGTGGTTGGTCATTAGTTAGAATTTGACGAGAGAAATCGTTAAAATAATAAGAAAACTAATGCATATTACCTTGCTCAAGCCCCACATGAAATGTGTTTTTTCTGGATCCAGATTTTCTACAGAAGAAACACTTCTGAAAACATTTTTTCGACTATGGATCGATAGACCGTAGATTTCATCAAAAATCGCATGGATGTTGTTTCTGTGAAAAAAATGTCTTAAACTTATTCCACAAAGTATAATTATTTTAAAGATTCCTATCTAGAACGTTTACAAGTATTTTTGAATAAATGTGCAGTATGATTTGATATGAAGGAAAATAAAACTGCGAAACGATAACCGATCTTGACCTTGAGTATGCGTATGTTCGTGCCTCGTATATATTCTCTTAAAACTTTCAAAATCTTTAGGCATCTCGTTATGTAGTAACACTCACACCAGTGCGCCATTTGTGTCTCAACTTTAGACGGGGACTCATGCTGTCGTAAAATTCAGTGTAGTGAAAGTGACGCATACTATTCAACTTTGAGAACATCTCGCTACTCTATCGATATTTCCATGACAAATGCCCATATGAGCTTCATTTTCTTGTTCCCCCAGTTCAGACCTTTACTGCTAGGGAACGTCATTGTACTTCAATGGAGTCGAACCACACTTATTTCCCCCTGTTCCAAATGTAAGAAAGAAGTTCCACTGTCTTTTTCTCCAAGAAATTCCACTTTGTAGGCTAGACTCACTGAAAACATTAACCCTGACCTCTTCAAGTCAAGGGCCATCGGTATATATTCTCTTTATTCTTATAAACTCTACTTCCTACCTCTTCTACTTCTATTCACATCTCACACCCCATTAATCATTATTCTTTCAACGGTAACGTTCTACTTTAAGTGAAATTTATTGGGTGAGCTAAATTGGGTAAATGTACAAAGCATCACCGATATGTATGTGACGCGTCGGGGCTGCTTATATATTGGTCATAATGGTTAAGTGACCATACCTACATCGGCAGACCAGGTTCTGGGCGGTCATGTAGTACAGAAACTCGCCAAGATAGCTGCATTTTAAGGGCTGCAATGAAAGACGTGCGATTTTCACAGTATAGTTTACAGTACATGTAGCCCCAAAAGTGTCAACATGTACCAATTCGAATTATTTATTTTCATCAGGATTCCAGGTACATGCGCCTCTATCCAGGCATTCATTTATGTCCCAATACCCTTATGAACATCTCTTGTGGTGTCACAAAAGTGGTACCTGGTATTTTTTAGTATTCAGTGATGAGAGCAGGTTCTGCCTTCATGCAAATAATGTTTGTTTGCACATCAGTGGTAGATCTGAGGATCGAAATCGTTCAGTATGTATTAATTTATGACACAGTCCTGTCATTAGGATGGGGAGTTTCATAAGTTACAACTTTTCCTTGCCTTTTTTGTTTATGGAGGGAACGTTGAACAGCACTATGTATATGTATATCCAAAACATTGCTCAACCTGTTTTGCTGTCATTCATGAAACAAGAAAATGATGTACTTTGCAAAGAGGATCATACCAGCTTACAAGATTCTTGTGCTACTCAATATATTCTGTAAGACGTTCGACTAAGTCCATCAGGAACAGTAATTGTAGGGAGTTGAGAATATTTTTAAATGTATTTCCGGAAACCGATACACCAATGGAACATTTCAGTAAGTGTTAATTAGTTTCTGCAATTGATTAAATTTTCTTTTAGATTTCCTTTGGTATCTTACATTTTGAATTGTTTTTATTATCATTAAATTTTTTTGGTTTTCTCTTCTCTTGGACTGTAATTTTAGTAAGCTTGTTACTGTGGAAAGTGTATTGAGGGAGGAAGATTTTATTGATTTTATATTTATATTTCTTGTCAGAGAAGTAACTAATGAAAAAAAAAAAACAACTGTTAAGTGATTTCCCCTTTGTCGTACTTATTTTTTTTTTGTACTCTATTTTTTCAGTTGCTTCACCATTTTTTTCTACCATTAAGACATATGACCTTAGGTTCTAGGCATCTCTCCCTGTGAACTGTTTGTGTCTGATAGATTGGTTCTAATTAGAAAAAGAATAATCTCATTTTGAATAGTTTCAACACCTTTCCTACCACCTGCCATTCTCTCGCATCCTATTCCAAATGAACCAAAACCCTTCTTGGCCAAAGGGTAAGATGATGAAGAAATGGAAGAAAATTTCTCCTAACTGTGGATTTGACATTCCTGGTTGACATGGCCGGTGCTAGAGTCTAATGACCCCCTAAATCTATGATATGAGGCCCCCACTTTACTACATCTCAATTTTCATTAAGTAGTATTCATAAAATACAAATTTTATTGTAACCTAATTCTGTACAATAATAGATCATACCATCCTATATATGTGAAAAATTGAAAATAATTACACTATATCTGAATAGAAATTAAAGACATGCCGTAATAGATCATTCCATTTTAAATAAATCAACAATGTTTTGTGGCAATTTTTAATACCGACATGAGATTTTTTTTCTTGATTAAAATGTTGAATAATGTCACACTCCAAAAATAAATACACCCATTACAATTTCTTTATAATAAGCTTCTGTTTACTTAATTTGTTGTGGCTACCTTCAATTTCGTTGAGGATTGACAACTTTCATAAAAAAAAAAAAAAAAAAAAAAAACATTAAAAGTGCAGGATGCCATTAGTGCTGAACTTATTAAGTATAATCCAAAGTATTTTTATTTGCAGATTGCTAACGCATTATGGCTGAAAAATAGAGAATTTTGACAGTATTTTTTAAGACTTGTCTTCATCACAGTCCAGTGAGCGAACACGTTATTTTTCAATAGAAACAATTGCTAACCAAAATAGCCTGTTATTTCATTGTAGATCGCAGGTATTTTTTAATTAGTTTTAGTCTGTTGAAACTTCTTTTAGCACTTGCAACAGTCACTGATGTACTAAGAAACTTTCGCAATTCAGTTCATAAATTCAGGTAAGTGTCAATTGAGCGATTTCGAAAAATGTAATCCAAAAAATCATGGGCAGTTTTCAGCTCCATTTTTTTTTCTGTTTGTAATCTCCAATTCTCGTTGCAGAATTGAGGCAAAGCTTTTGATCTCGTGGGGCAATTCTTCTAATTCAATATCACCCATTTTTTTGTGAAATCGTTTGCATTGTTTGTTCAAATTCCCACTTTTCATTGCATTCAAAAGTGAATTTGAATTTTGAATGAATCCATAAAGTTCATTCCACTGGGATAGTTACATTGATCTCAGCAATCATTATATCGGCTGTAACATCAGAAGATTGCAACAACTGATTCACTTTTTTCACCTGAAATAGAACATCGTACCAAATAATTATGCTAAACAAAGAAGATGACTGGGTAGTATTCAGACCAGCAAACACCAACAGCGACCATCGATCATCATTGATCATCATCGATCATCAGCGATTAGCGATCATCAGCTACCATCAGCAACCAGCCGTGAGCACCAACAACCAACTGACTCCTGGCGACCACGTCTTTTACCAATCCACTCGGCGATTCAGGTTTCACTCCCTGATTCCCATCAACTCCTGCCCTCGGCTAAGAATGCCTTCTCGCACCAGCTAAACATACCGACTTTCTATTGACCTTCGCTGACTGCCTTATCGTCCTTCGGCATCTCCCACGCGGTTTCGTCATCATCTTATGGTTACCAGCAACCGTCTGCCCTTGGCTACGACTGCCAGTTAATACCGACCCATTACAACAACTGTCTATCAACCTTCATCACCAATCGAGTTGCTCCAGTCATCATCAACTGTTGACGCATCTAAGACCAACAGTTAACTACCAGCACACGCCCCCCCAGGTTATTTAAAAACGCTGGATTCTTCGATTGTATTTTTCTGCCGTTAATAAATTTTGGCATATTTTATCTAAACACCTTGTTTTCGTCATCCTTGCCTTGGCCTGTGTCACTTCTTCAATTTTAATGTTTACCGGGTTCGTCTGACATCAACATTTGAAGCCCACATCAAATATGTTGTAGTTATTATTCGTCATCTGTAAGTTTATAAACATGTGTTAACGCCAAACGAGATTTGTATTAATATAGGATCTGTGTACTATTGTTACACCTATTAATTTTGAGTTAATTGAAATACGCCTTCGGATACAAATTTATTTTCTACATATATAACATATACACATATATTTTTCTTTTTTTCGAAGAGCTGGAGGGGCACAATTTGGTAGCTATAATTCATTTTATATAGATTGTTTAATCTGTCAATTTGAATTGTTTAAATCAGTCCTTCTTATATAAACAATTTTTAAAGGAATTTAAAAATTCCTATTTTTTATAGGAACTGTTATCTGGTCAGGAGCAACTTCTTTAAATAATATTTGTGACATTGTAGTATTTACTACGTTTAAACTGATAGTTTTTACATTCACTCAGAATGTGCTCAACCATCAATCGATGATATTACAGGGAAGGTTATAGCCTCAGATTTTTGGGGATGCAAAAGGCATTGTATTTATTGCTATCTTCAAAATGGCCACACGATCAATGGAGAATACTATGCCTGCTTGCTAAGGCAATTACAAAAGGGTATCATGACCATACGCACAGAAAAATTGACGAAAAGACAATGCTCCAGCATACAAGTCTTTGGTTTCAATGGTTGCATGACTGGCTTTGAACTGGTTGATTATTCCCCACCCCCGACTATCCTGATTTTGTTCCATCTGACTATTACTTGGCTGGCAACCAGTATCACAGTGTTGATGACGTCATATCTGCTGTAGATGACTTTTTTGACCAACAGGGTGAAAGCTTCTTCGTCAAAGGGATCGAAGCACTTCAACACCGATGGAAGAAGTGTGGAAACTGCAAGTTGAAAAATAAATCTCATTTGGTCACATTCCATGAGAGTATCTTGGTCAATGTATGAACTTTTTTTTACCGACCCTCGTAATTAGTACAGTGTTCTATTTTTACCCCTTTTACCAGTGTTGCGTTTGCCTGACTGACACTTGGTTGGTGTTCGTAAAGTTTGTTTTCTGAGAATGTATCTCATAATATTTGCTATTTACTTTTTATGAAGTCGCTAATTTTTTAAATCTGGAAAATAAATATAAAATACGGAATTATTAGTTATTTCCATGTTTTTTTGCAAGTTCATCTAATTTCGCATTACCCTTTATATCTACATGGACCGGTATTCATGCTAAAACAACTGATTTTTGTAATTTTACCAGGTTATCACTATGTGATGACATCAGGAAAGTCGTTGATGAAAACGACGTTCCCAGTGTCCCCAGTTCTTAACTCGGTATCTATACTGATGACACCTATTATTTACTTCTATCTTTATAGTCAGTTCGATAAGGTCAAATTAGCAGCTGAGCTAAAAAAAATGACCAATCTGTTGTTAATTGAGGCAAGGAATGTCTTGCTAATTTTAACGTCTCTAAAACGAAACTGCTCTCTTTTAATCGTCTGATAGAACCCTTTTTGTTTTCCATCAGCATGACTGATGCTATCCTTCGGGAGAGTGACTCATTGCATCTTCGTAGATTAACGTTTCCAGCTAACATGAAGTGGAAAGATTATATTGAATCAATTGCTACGTCTGTTGCTAGGAAATTTGATTCACTGTGTCATGCTAGACAACTTTTATCGCCCGAATCTATTTTATATATATATAAGACTACCATTCGTCCATGCCTTGAATATTTCTTCTACATATACTCTGGTGCTATATATTTAGAAATTCTTGATAAGACCCAAACAAGAATATACAACGTTATTCGTTCTGGCTTGACATCTTGGCTTTAGTTACTTAACCCTAAATTCTATGCTAACAATTTCTTTTCTCGCACTTCTCGCTTTTGGAAATCTTTTCAGGTTTCTTGCTTCAGTCAACATTGATGTTCAAAACTTTAGATGGAATGTCAATCTATCTTCTTAATTCCTGTTTTTTTTTTTATCATTCTTTCTCCTTAATAGGTTTTATTTTTTTATATTTTCTCACACTCAGTAACTCTTTGCGTCTTGTGGTTTTATTATGTTGCTTGGGGAAAATTATTAAAAAAGTTTGTTATAAACATCCAGCATGTCTACAATGTAAGAGTGGTTAGTTGTCTTTCTTTTAGTGCAACTAGAAAGGATAGGAAGTCTGTAAATATCACAAATTGCTACTCTGCACAACTCTAGCGTCCTGGGTAGGACAATAAATAACATCCGGCAGCAAAGCCTCTGATCGGGAGGTTTGGAGGAGGATGGAACCACCTCTTAATTGCTGTTATTCCCAGGTCTATCCTGACCTGTGAATGGTAGCATCTATTAGGTTCCTAGGTATGGGCAAATAGTGAACACCGAAACTTTGGTCAAAACATGAAAATATAAGAATACATTTAGAAATAAGACCAGCAATACATTTTCATAGTGAAAAAAAATACCAGCAATAAATATTTGGAAAAAAAAAAATACCAAAGCTCTCAAGAAAATAAAATTTCTGCATTAGATGATTCAGGTGTTGCTATGCAGTTAAACAAATCAATACCAAATCAAACGGAGTTCCGTACTTCCATATCGTATCCTATACTTTTTCAAAATCAAAAAATATCGATTATTTAACTTTTGCTTTTCGACCATGGATTTAAACTTTTGGAATACAGGGGAGTAATGTTAAGTTGATGAGTTATTTTCAAATTCTTCTTAGCAATTGTTTCTTTCTTTGACTATAAAAGGAATATGATTTATATACAAACGTATGATTCGATTTTCAGATAACTTCGGTTCTGCAGAAATCTTAATGAATGCATTGGGAATAAAATGCGGGACTTACAGTTTTGTGAACTGAAGCACATCATCTATTTCTTCTTTAGTCAATAACTGCCCGGAGGGGTTGTTGGGGTTGATGACGATGATTCCTTTTATACGGACACCCTAAATATAAACAAGACATAATTATAAAAAACAAGGCGTCAAGGAAATTTGCAGTATTCTTTTTCTATCTCCTTTATATAATCGAATGATCAGAAGGGTTTTCTCTCTCTCTCTCTTTTCCTCTCTCTCTCTCTCTCATACACACGCACGCACGCGCGCGCGCGCAAGCGCGTCTGCCTGTGTAAACTTTCCAGCTGTTCCATTCGTTTGGCCATATTTTTAGATTATCCAGATGTGATATGTATCATTCTATAACTTGTGTCTTGAAAAAAAAAAGAAGTTTGACAAAAAATTTAAGGAATTCACTATGTTAGAGTTCAAGGAATTGGTCGTCAGTATTGACCTTCGAATAGGCATTTAAAGAAATATCAGCGTTAAGCATGAATTTGTGTCATTGTGTTAGGGCACGGCAGTGTGAACGAAACATTGAAGCTATAAAGAAAAAAAATATACAGCTCAGCTTAGAAGCAATGAACTCTTTTTTCTTTTTTTTTTTTTTAGATCCAATGGAAATGCATTGGCAATGGGAAGGAATAAGAAGAAGATATAAATGTATTAAAAGTGCAAAGTGAATTATCTAAATATTTTGAATGAGAAGTGTAGATCTGGAGATCACCATATTTATAGGAGTCAGATAAAAGAGAAAATCCCATAGATTTATTTTTGTTTTTTCGTGGAGCGAGATAAAGTAATTCCTAAATGTCGGCAAATTCGGAAGGAATAGAAAAGGCGACGACAAATAATAAAGAAAAATGAAAAAGATAAAAGAATTTAAATCTTTTTACTTAATATTACATTTTATGTTTCCTGAAAGTGAATGGATAATGTATATTTCTATCGAGGAGTTACTTATAGTGCGTCGTAGTAGTAGTAATAATAATAATAATAATAATAATAAATTGCAAGAGACGATGTAGAAATCTTAGCGCAGCGTGGATTGATTATCGTAAATCCTTTAATAGTGTGCCACACTCTTGGATACTTAAGACTTTGGAAATGTACAAAGTCTCCCCTGTGGTAGTAAATTTCCTTATGCACAGCATGGGGATATGGAACACCATCCTATAGCTAAATCACACCAAAGGCATTGCCATCTCCAACCGTCTGAATATCCGACGTGGAATCTTCGAAGTTTTTCTTTTATTTGTCCTTAACCCCCCCACCACTTATGCATGAACTAAACAACAGTAGCTATGGTTACAAACTAAAAAAAAAAAAAAATTCAATCATCTACTCTATATGGATGATCTCCAACTCTTTGTCAAAGACGACAATGAGTTGAAGGGCCTCCTCGGTATTATAAAATGTTTCAGTGACGACATAGATATGGATTTCGGATTAGATAAATATGCAAAAGTAACATTCAAGAAAGGGAGAATTACAGAAACACCCTCAATAGATTTAGACTTTGTCACAAAGATTAGGGAACTAGAATAAGATGAAGCCTATAAGTACTTAGGAATTAACGAAGGAGATGGTATACAACATACACAAATGAAGGAGAAGGTAAGAAAGGAGAACTACAGGCGTGTGCGTATGGTACTGAATACTGAGCTGAATTCAAGAAACACAATATCAGCCATCAACACCTTGGCTGTCCCAGTGGTTCAATACAGCTTTAACATCCTTAACTGAACCATAGCTGACATTAAGCGAATGGACGCCAAAACGAGAAAGCTTCTCATTTGCTACAACATTCGTCATCCCAAAGCTGATGTTGATCGTCTGTATGTGCCCAGTTCCGAAGGAGGCAGGAGATTAGTTCAACTAGAACTGTTTTACAAAACTACAACCATTGGCCTTCAAACTACAAAAAACTGGATGATGAAATATGTCAAAGAGCACAAAAGTAGTAAGTGTCTTTATTCCGTAATAAAGAAAGCCAACAAGTTCAAAATGGAGTTTCAAATGGTTGCAGAAATACAAGTAAACCACAATACAGCAACTGTAGCTGCAAAATATTTAAAAAAGAAAGCAAAAGCAAATGCAGCCGACCAGATACAGAAACAATGGCAAGATAAACCGCTTCATGTCAAATACTCTGCCCGTACCAAACAAGCTGATGTAGACAAACCCCGTATCCATCAGTGGCTACATAGTGCAGGGTTAAAAGCTGAAACCGAAGGTTTTATCCTTCCTGCACAGGATTCTCTGATAAATATCCAGAAACAATTGATCATCTTGTATCAGGTTGTACGGTATTGGCACCCAGTGAATATGAACAAGAATAATAAAATTTTTGACGTTTACTTATATATTATTTTTGTATTACCGATGGGCCTCAACTGACGACATTTTTTGTTATTTTATAAAATAATGAAGCGGATTGTTGAAAGCACCTTAGGAATATTGCCTGTTGGACATTATACACAGACACAGACACACACAATGTGTATATATATATATATATATATATATATATATATATATATATATATATATATATATATATATATATATAAGATATGCCCGTAAAATTATAGCAAACTTGAGTAGCAGAGATAAGGCAGTAATGGATAAAGTTTTAAATGTGTTGTTTCTCAACTAGCCCAGCTGAGTTGAGAGCTATAGGATAGAATCTGCTAAAAATTGGCGATAGCTAACAAAATTTGGCACACGTCCAAGAAGGGGTCGAACATTTAGCAATTAGTGACTTAATTCAAGGGTTACGAAATATAGAGCTTAAGTATATTAGCAGGAACAAGACGAGATTCAATGGTTTTATGCAGTATTATAGCACCAAAATTGATAAATATAAATCAATAAGAAGAGAAATTCTCTGCAATTGAAGAATTAAACCTTGGACACTTTGGCAATATCAAATTATGTGACTTTTTATTATTTTGCATTTTATTATAAGGGGAAGTGTCGTCAGTTATTCATTTTTGATTAGCATTTTATCTTAATTTTAGATGCTTTTTAATTGCAAAAACGCATTATCATTCTACATTATTCTTTTATATTTTTGAAGATGTAAATCAATTTTTTTCCTTTTTTCTTTTATATAATATATTTTATTTTAGTGAGCTTGTCTTGGCTTTGTGCCATCCAATTTAAATGTCATCTCTCTTGGAATGTGTGTGAAATAACCCAACGGATTGATTCACTTGTGGTAAACAGGAATATGAAATAAAAATTAACTATTTTGAAAGGGTACGAATGGTGTAAAATAGAAAAGTTCCCATAGTTGTATTTTTGTTTTATCTTGCGTGAAGCTAACAGTCAACGGGTGGCACAGATGCGTTGCGTGGGGCTCAGAATTTAAGTAAAAAATACCAGGGATATTCATGAGAACTCGTATTATCATATTGGCAGCAGCATCACAGAGAGGAAAGAGAGACATGGATATTGCCAAGGAGTGTTCACTTACTGACAATGCTATAATAAGAAGTGCGGTAAAACGTCTACTGTTATATTTGTTTTTTTTCACCTCTTGTATATTCACTGTTAGCATGAAGAGACGGCTATATATATAAGATTAGAAGATAAAAATGCGTGAATTTTTAATACATTTATTTAATTCTCAAAATAAACAAAAAGCGTGAAAACGTTCACAAAGGTAAATTATCCAAGTACTGAATGTCGAAAGATTAATTATATTAAATAATAATATATCAGGGCTAATTGGTCAGAGCCAGAGTTGTCTAAATGCTAAGTGCATCTGTTTCAAAGAAACTAAAATGTCGGGCTGAAAAAAAATCTGCACGAGTGAAAAAATGGTTGTGTGTGTGTGACCGCGATTCAGACAGAATAAGAAAAAAGATATAACAGTAATTCAAAATTCTGTTCATTAACGTTAAATGAGATAAAAAAAAAAAATACAGTGAAGCAGAAAAAAATCTACCCGAGTGAAAAAAAATAGGTGTGTTCGTGCTTGAGTGAGTAGTCGAGATTCGGCCAGACTAGAAATAGGGAATAAATGAATGCCTTCGTCAAAATGATGTCACTGCTCAAATCCCTTTAGGCAAAATGAAAATCGGGGAAAGTATGTGAGAGTAAGAGACTCCTACACAATTATATAAACATTAAAAATGGTTAGAAATTTTAACTGAGAATTACACTATCGTTCCTTTATGCGAAATAATTAATTGCGTATAATTTAGCCAGATTTTGAAGAATATGATCTTACAAACATGCTTTGACATAGTGTCCAAGTGTAGTTCAGATGTGGCACAAGACCGAAAGTAGTGGGGCACCCCATGAGGATCAAACTCACTACTCAGTCCTAATTGTTCTAGCGAGTTAAGCTTTCTAATCATTACACCACCTCAGGGTGAAAAATAACAGACGAAAATGATCAGAAAAATTAAGTTTTATACATGTTTCATAGCTTTTTTTACGCAGTCAAATTTCTGTGATGAAAATTAGAGATACCTTTATTTCGGACAAATTTTAGATGCTAAATTTTTTCATAGACCCTCCTAAATTATACATAAAGTAAGTTCAGTTAAAAGAAATTGAATGAGCCAGAATAGACCCGGGTGATTTGAGTAAGAGTGCGCCCTTTAAGTCTTGTGGTGGGCGGGTCTACAACTAAGAATTAGTGCACTAAAATCTGTTCACACCATCTTTAAAAGTAGAGGACCGTGATTTTCGAAGGGGTTTTTCAGTTTTTTAATCCCCAAATATCACCCATTTTTGATAAATCAATAAAAAAATAACCAATAAATATAATTTTGGGAAGTGGATCGAATGTTTAAATACATACCAACAATAATATTGGAATTCCATTAGTTTGGTTGTTTTTAAACTTTCAGACTTGAAGTCTAAACCCTAAGGCCGATTTTAATGAAACAATTGAAAAAAGAAGTTGAGAAAGTGTATAATAATAATAATAATAATAATAATCAACTTACTGTCACGCTTATTATACGCTATATATTGATTTTCGTTTCTCTCTATGTGTGTGTGACAACTGGAACCATAAGGCATATTTCCACCAAATTTGGAAAAGGACCCCAAAAAAATTAGTCATTCAAATTGCTTCGATTTTGATGAAATTTTTGCATGTTTGTTACGCTCTTACAATGAGATAGAAATTTTCGGTTGTCAGATTTTTAAAATGCATGAGGGGATAGAAATCCCCAGGATGACCCTATAAAACCCTTGATGCCTCAATTGCTTTTCAAGTGTATTTTGTAGCAGTATTCCCCAATTTCAACGAAAATTTCAGTACATATTGAGATTATATCGAGTAACTGAAGTAGTCACTTGAATTCACTGAAAATCAACACTGGGACCCCCCCCACGAGTTAGGGGGACCAGCAGGGAACCCTGAAATTTTCAATTAAGTCTACAGCCTTGGCCATAAAGTCGATTAAATAGAAAACTTAAAAAATATGTGCTTTATTATTTCAATTACTATTAGTCTTAAACCTGTCCTTTGGCTTGAAATTTGGGACCCCTAGGATGAACCAAAGGGACCCCCAAATTTTCAAATTGCTTCGATTTCGACGGAATTTTACATGTATGTTACAATCTTAAAATGAATCAAAAACGATTATCAAATATTGAAAACTACATGATGAGCCATGAACACCTTGCTGACCCATTAGTCTTTCAATTGCAGTGGTTAGCAGCATTCCGATGAAATTTGCACATAATTTGTGTTTAGATCAATCAACTCAAAATCAAAACTAACACCCCATGTCTCATATATACATTATGAAAAATATCAGTTTTTCCCATGGATTTCCCGTTTTGGTACTGAAATAGTTTAGTTTGCATTAACTTGACGGCAAAAATTATATCCTTCCTTAAGAAAAAAAAAGAATAAGTGCAAACGAAAGTGTGCACCGATGAGAGAAGTGCACGTAGGTATAAGACGCGTGTGCGAGATCGATCGAGATGTGTAGTGTGTACAATTGATTTTGCTCCACGTGCAATGATCGATCGAGTTATGTAGTGCGTACTATCGATTTTGCTTCACGTGTAGTGTTCATTAGTGCTATGTGATGAAATAAATGCAAAAAAATCTCATTCGCATCAAAGTTGTCATCCAGTAAAAAGGTAGGCTGCCTTCATGCATGTATATTTTGAATTTTTGATACTTTAAATTTAAATTTGTGAAAATCATATTATTAAAAAAGTTTAAGCGTAAATGCCAATTTTTAATTATGTATTTATCATCTTCTAATCAGCGTTTAAATAATGCTTACTAACTCATATATTTGGAAACTTGAGCCCTAAAATTTTGACAGTTTTATTCTGAAAAATGCACTTATAATAATGTAAAGACCTCTTTCGATTCATTTATAATTATGCTAAACTTAGCGTGTACGTTTTAACGTTCATAGTGAGTAGGTTTCTAGCTGCACGTTAATTTTTATTTTTATCACTAGAACGTTTTTTGGTAGTCTATTTTTAGATAAATCCTAACTTTACGAGCTTGCTTATAATTGTTTACCACGTTCCCGTGGTCTCCCTTATAAACTTGCATTTAATTTATTGTGGCTATATTTCCATTAATGTGTATAATATTCTTGCTTTTTAATTGATTACTTCATTGTTATTCAAAAAGCTTAGCCAAACCCCTCCAACTACAGCCTGACAGTAATGCCAAGAAAGCGAAATCCTTCACTTGGACGTGCTACTACTACAGCCAAATGCATGAAAGCACGGAGAAGAAACGCTTCGCAACAAGAAACTCAAATTAGACTGACACAAAATGCTATTCGTACAGCTAATGCAAGGTCAGCAGAAACTAATGAGCAACGGTTAACTAGACGAGGAAGGAACGCTGCCAGAACTACTGCTACTCGAGCTGTCGAAACTGAGGGGCAAAGAACAATTCTATACAGTCTTTGTGAACGTTGGTTTTCAGCCTTGGCACGGCTGCTAGGAGAAGTCTTTGTTGAATTTCTTCTCCTTCCAATGCATGTTGTTCATTCGATGTAGTTTGAGCAAAAGCTGTCAACAAAGCATTTCTCCTCAACAATTTTCGAAGATCGATTGCGATTAATGTACTCTTCATTTGCTGACAATTTTTTTTGTATCTTCTGTGCTTCTGTAAAAAACAACTTTCTCCTGTTATAAATGTTTTCACACTTCATGTCATTATAATTTTTCGCCATAGAGATAAGAGGCACTAAAGAAAAAATCTTCTTTATTTTAACTTTACAGATTGGATGAGAATTCGTTGTTCAATATGTGATCTTTTTTTGAATAAACCCTATATATATATATATATATATATATATATATGACAAGCATAGGCGTAATTGGAACTTTCATGGTGATAGTGCCGACGATATCATCCGTCTGTGTTTCGGTAGAACCGATAGTCGGACGTTTAAATATATTCATATTTTAAGCTAGAGTAAATAAAACTTACTGTTTCTGCTATGTCAACATCATAAGTATAAACCTGTGATTTGTCATGGATGTCATTTCGGATGCGTGAATAATAAGGCGCCGGACACAGGAAGCGATCTATGTAAAAAAAAAAAAAAAAATCCCCTCAGTAAACATAAAGTATGTATTAATCTGTGAATTACACAGATGTACTTAGGCGTGTAAATGTGTGGATTTTAATGACTATGCGAGATTTGAAATTTTGATTAATGTGTTTTCTTTATACGTCATTTCAATGTCAAATTTCTATTTCTATACATAAAGATAATCAAATTTTACAAAAAGTCTATCCTCACAAGTAAAATTTAAACTGAAATTATTTCTAATGCTTCTGAGAATAAGAGACCATGTAAGTGAGTGAGGTTTTCGTAAGCCATTCCTTGTAAGTTCGTTTATTAATGGGAGCTAAAGTTTGCTCAGGTTAACGATAAGTATTTTTCAGGGGTGCAAATATATGAAAAAGAAATTTGTGTGGGGGGCGTATTGATAGATATATAGATAAATAAAAATATCAATAACTTATCTGACTTGAACTTAGGTTAGGATAAATATATTGAATCTCTTAAGATATCACATTTTATATACCTACATAAAAGTTCATTACTGACGTCTTTAAATGAAACATTTATTCTGTTATTCTGTTTATAGCCGTTATAAAGTGGCATCTTATCTGAAATTATTCGATTATATATATATATATATATATATATATATATATATATATATATATATATATCTTATCTTCTCCCTCTGTGTATAAGTAAAAGTTACCTCCTTCTTCAGCCAAGCCATCAGCCACCAGGTCTAGAACACACGTTACACCTGTGACAACCACCAACTGAAATGGAAAGTATTTTTTATTTAGAAGCATTTTTTCAGAGTATAACAAGGTATTTTTCAGTTCAAATCTCAATATTTTTGTACTGTAATTGTTGAAACTTTTGAACTGCAAGGAAACTGTAGTTAACAATCAGAAAACGACAGCTGAAATAATTCGGAAAGAATGCTTTGAGAATCTAATACTTACAGGGCACATCGAAGGCAAGAGAAGCAAGGAAAACAGTAAATCACCTGACAACTTAAATGGACAGCAAAACAAATATCACAAGACAAATAGAAGTCATAAAAGAACAACAATTACTTCGAACGCTAAAGTTAATAATCCAGTAAGTTGTGGACAGTCATGGTCGCTCACGTCCTGAAGGGACACGGCACAGAAAACACACACACACACACACACACACACACACACACACACACACACACACACACACATGTATATATATATATATATATATATATATGAAAGAGGGAATTACTTTATCTAAACAATTATTTATAACTTTGTTTAATAAATTAAATAAGATCATATTTCTTTCTGTGACATATTCAATCTTGTCATATCGGCAAAACTTCTTTCAAATACATTCCTCTTTTGGACAACGTCTTTATTTTCATCTTCTTAAATCAATACTTATCAAACTTTTGCTTCTTACAAAACTGAATCTCTCGTGTGTAGATTGTATTTCTCATTTGAATGTTATACATATGAAACTGACTTAATTGGTTTTACGGATTATCAACACGTTGTGATTATTTAAAACCAAAACAAATTTTGGATTGTAAGAAAAGTTCTTTTTTGTGAATGAGTATTGCTTTAACAATTTTTTGGACAATGGTCTTTCCAGATACAAGTCCTACTTAACCCATAGCTTGGGGAACAGATGGAGTCATACTTTTCCCAAGTATATTTGAGTGTAAGTGAATGTAACGAACCCGAATCGAATTCGAACTCGGCTCTCCAACTTCTCATTCCGAGCCGCTACTCATTAACCACACGTACATTAAGCGAAGACACACGTAGAATTCCTATATGACTAAAGCAAATTCAGGTTTCATTTCCCGTTTGCCTTTGACGCTAAAACAAATTCAATTAACAATTGAACTTTAACTGCATGCATTTGACAGGTGCACATTCTTCAGGAAGCATACAGTGTGGCGGGGGCGAAATCACCCACCGAAATAATAATAAAAGAGAATATGCTGTAAAACAGAAAAAAAGGCGTTTTCGAAACAACCATGACGTTAAAAAAAAAAGGCTGTAAAGACTTTGAAATTTAAATGTTACAGAAAGTTAATTTAGAACACGAAATATAATCGTTTTGTAAGTGTACAAAGGATATCAGATTACTAATAGAAAATTACTGGGACAATGATAATTGGAACTTTTAGAAAAAGAATGGATTTTGACACTAAGAATCAAGTTAAAATCAAATTAAAATAAAGGATGTTTTGATTTAGAATTTATTTTTTGAAACTGGACTCTCTCTAGTTTACAAAGAGTGGCAGAGTGATTACTAGCGAGGTGATAACAATAGTGTCTTGTTGTTAACCTTAGAAACCAATCGGTGAAAAGTAAACTGTTTACTCTCGAAAGAGTGAAATTGTACTTTGAAATTACGTCAGTACGTTCGCACTAGAAAAACAGATATGTCAATAGTTCTCTAAATATAACGAGGCGAGCCAACCGGAAGAAAGGAGAGTTTTAGCTCGTCTGTCTTCGAATGCAGTCGAGCTGGGTGGAGAGATGTCGGTGATTGAAAAGGAGAGTTTCGGGTTCGTCTGTCTTCGAGTGCAGTCGAACTGGGTGGAGTGACGTCAGATATTGTAAAGAAAGCGTCCACTGTTTGCTCTTGAACGGGATCCGAAGAGTGAATTACTGCCGCTAACATCTAGGTACCGCTACTCCTGCTACTACGAATACTACCACTACTATTACGTCTACTGAGTACGGGAACATCGAAGTAAGTAGTTGCAGTAGTTGCCCTAAGAACAGACCAAAAAGGGTTAAAACGAAGGCCGCATCTCTCCTTACCGATTATTCGCAATTGTATTTGAAACATTCAACTTTGTGCAACAAGAATTATTTTTTCTGCGTGTTTGCTTATATATATATATATATATATATATATATATATATAAACTTTTGTCCTTTCAAAAACGAATCGACTTGGTTATTTATTTTTTCTGTTAACCCGATTCTCACCCGACAAACTCGCAGGTGGACGAACGGGGAGCTTTCGGATTTCTACGATTTGATGACCACTCTCTAGGATCAAAACAATCATAATGTGGCTGGAGGGTGGCTTCGAATTAACGTTGGGAACCGGAGACTTGTGTCTAACCTGTAATACTGGACCATACCGGACCAACCACTGGTCTGGTGGAGTACGTGAGTCCAGTGGGGTGAGGATACGGTGTTACAACAGTACAAACCATTGAGAATAGCATTTTCAAGAAAAATTGTATTTACTTACATTTTCTTCATTGATCGGATTCAGTGGGTTAAAAAACTTGTTTAAGAAATTCTTTATAGCCCTTCTGAAACTGGAAAGAAAAGCATTTACTTTATTTGTATATGTTTTTGAACTTTAAAACAATATTGAAGTAAGTCGTTTTCGTGACTCGAATAGTCACCTGCCCATCCTGTCAAATTTAATTTTTCTCATAAAGAAAACTTAAATTTGACAGGGTGAGCAGGTGACTATCAAAATAGGAATCAAATTGCCTGTTTTATTTCTGCGTGGTACGATTAAATTCAGAGGGTTGAACATAATAGAGTCCTACGTTGGACAACTCTCTAAATTCGTTCGTAACACACACAAATAAAATAGGCCATCTTGATCTATAAAAAGCCATCGTATTAAAAAGGGCATACTTTATTAAGAAGAAAAAAATCTTAGAAGGAATCATGATAAATATTCTTTTTAGCAGTACTTAATGTTTATATTATTTATAAGGACAAATCCTTGGAAAATTTAAATCATGAAATTATCTGGGTCAAACAGGACCCCCAGTTACAGAAAATCTACTCTGAATCGTAAAATAGAAAAAAAAAATGAAATAAAACTAAGACATTATTATACATTAAAGCAATTAAAAAATTTTCTATTTCTTAACTGGAAAAACTTTATATGTATAAAATATATTGTAGACACTATTGTCTTGATAACATTTTTTTTTCAATGAATTACAATATTTATTTATTTACAATATTCATTTTCCTTTTTTAAATTTTAATTACAATAATTTATAAACTTAAATCTTTTAAAATTCTGTATCAATTTGTAACTGTCAAGTGATATTGTTATTAAATTAAGACTGTATTTACAAACCATAAATGGAAAAGTTCACTGCAATTCAACGACCCCAATATTTTAAAAATGATTTTAAATTTATTTTATGCATGTATAAACGTGTCGATATTTGTAAATACGGGTATTCAAACGCAACATTATCATAAAATTAGAGCGGCAACTATATTAAAGTTAAAATGTATTTTAAATAATGTTTCAGAAAAGGTATATTTTATTTTTGAAAAAAAAAATAATAAAAAGAATTACATTATGTTGACAGATTTCTCAATAGGGACTATGTTAGGGATTTTAGTAAATAATAATAAAAAATAATTCCAATCGATTTAAATTCAGTTTGAAATACATTAAAGTATTGAGCTTACTGGAAATATTAAATAATTTAGTCTATTAGCTAGAAATTAAATCTAAAATAAAAGGTTCAAGAAAGATTTTTCATTTTTTAAAAATGGATTTTAAACCTGAGATATCACTTTTCTTTGGAGATACCTACTTGAACGCAATAACTTTTCCAACAATGAAAGAAAGATACACTCTTATTAAAAAAAGAAAAAAAAGAAGAAATACGTTGTCAACATAAAATTCCAATCTTTCTTTTTTGCTACGGAGAAGGAAAATATGACTAAAAGAATTCTCAAGAATTTTTGTTACCCAACACTGCCATGATTGGTAAAGTAGTACAGGTCATCAGATTCAATTTTTGTCGGTAGCAATTCTGTTAACTGTATATAAAAAAATAAAATAAAAATCAGTGCTCATTGAAGGGAGACAGAAAGAAACTTTTTCTTTTTGTCTAAAAAGAAAAAGACAATGGGTGGGGCTCAGTTAACGACTGAAAATTTCACAATTTGATATTAAATAAAATGTCCTTTTTAGTAATTAGACATATTAAGGGGCTCTTTTTTTGACTGAGCAAAACAAAACATAACCAATAAGTTAGATTACAAATATTAATATTTGTCTTAATATTAATATTTGGTCTATATTAATAAATGACTAATATTTAGATGAGATACTACACAAAATTATTAAAAAAATTACCCTAACGTCTAATTTTAATAGGTTTACTTTTAATTAGTCTATTTGTCTATGTATAAAGCGAAATCACAGACAACGTGTATCTGAAATGTTCACTTTTCAAATTCGCCAAACTTTTGAGTAATATATCGTATATTTATGAGAATGACTTCAAGTTGTTATAAAATAAAATAAGACATATCTCGGCTGATTTACAGGCAAATACTCAAGAGCGAGAACCGGATGTGAACGGGACAAAGCCCCGTCACAAAATGACCATTATCTTTCTTTACAAATGTTCCCGACACACGTGTTCCGGTCGAAAAATAAAATAATATTTAAAGTGATCCATTTTTCGTCCAATAAAAATGCTTCCCTCCTAATTATACTCGCTTCGTTTTTCGAGCCTGTTAAGCCATGAAAAACGCTATAAAAGGGGTCACACGGAAGTTCAACAGGCAGTCAACAGGTGCCCAGAGTAGAGACCTGTCACGGTCAGCTACTGACAGCAGGGGAGCGTTAACCACCGTCAACATGTGTGAACTACTATGAGAGATCGACCTAGATCCGGAGCCGGCTTATGAACTGTACCACAAGGTAGCTGTCCCAAACCCACATATTCCTGTTGAAATAAACCACGTAAATCTATTTCTGCTGTTGTCGTATTTCTTTCTTGCAACCATACGCTTGTCTATAACAAAGTCTTTTGTTTTGGTGTTTCACCTAAAATTATCTGAGTCACCACACTCGATATTATTATATGATAAGGTTAATTCTGAAAACAAAATGTAATAATAAATAATTGACAAACAAAACAAGCAATAAAAGTAGATGATATTTTTAAATATTACGATGTTTTTTTTTAATATCATCAAATGTATACACCTTGAGTCTAAAGATGATTTAAATTTTATTTTTGCAAATGTATGTATTGTTATAAACATCATTTTCAAACTTAATTTCATTTTTAAGTTTTTTTTTTACCTTTTGTTTAATAAGATCCTCGCAAAGCTTGTTTTCGGCTAATCCAATCTCAACGACGCCCTAGAAATAAAAGAATAAAAATTGAAAAAATAAAATATTTAGCACTGATTGACGAAGCGAAGATATTTGTTAACAGTTGTTAAAATGTAACAATAAATATTAATAATAAAAAATTTAACTTTCTGTGATCTCATATTTTAAAAATGATGACAATATTGGTGGCAGCTGTAACAGAATGCTTAGCAAGTTGGACTCGAAGACAAATTCGTTTGTATTCAGTATTGAGGTCCATCTTTTTAAGCACTCTGTCAGTGTGATTGTAAAACTTAAATAATCATGGCAATTCAAAGGAAATGTAATTCAATCATATCCTCCTTGTAGAACATTTTTAATTAGACTTTAATGGTTTTCTTAAAGTCATTGATACTAAAATAGAATGACTATTAGATCGCATATAATTTCTTAAAATATAAGACAAGTTCACTAAAATTCAAATGGATAACTTTGGGGAAAAAGAATTCTTCCTTTAATAAAATTGTTAATTGGCAAAAATAATTTCAAACCACATCCCTGTTTTTGATACATTTTCTCACGGCAAAATATGAGTAGGTTTTCATTTTATCGAATTAACAATATTTCCTTTCAGGAAGTTCATACACGGAAAATAAACTAATAAATCAAATCGCAGAAAAATGAAATTTTAGTCAGCAATATTCGTTTAAGTCATGGCGTCTATGATTGTTTAGTTTTTGACATTGCATTTCATATTTTTAAGATCAAACTTGATTGCAAAAATATATGAATTTACTGAACGAGAGTTCCAATATTGATGACGACAACATCCGTCTTAATTAAAATAGTGCTGCCTTTTCTATGTCTATAGGGTTTATCCACTGACAGGATAACTCACCGAAAATCGGTCTTGTAAAGCAATACAAAACAACTTATATATATTTCCCAATATATATATATATATATATAATTTAATAAAATTTTACAAATTATGAATAATCATTCTCATGTCAAGAAGGAAATTCCAAGAAAAAATTATCCGAAGTTTATTTTGAAAGTCCATTATGGTCCAACCTTTAACCTCGGCATCCAATTTTACTCTTGAAGTGACAAATTCATATTAAACAAAAGCTTTACCAAAATAATAAAAATATATGAAATTAAATTAAGAATAGTAAATTTATTCACTTTGATTACAGAGTTGAAGCAATACTTATTTTGTGGGCACAATCAAATCTATATAAAAACAATAATAACAAACATTAATAGTTCTAAGAAAAAAATTATCACTTAGGCATTCTGATGATCAGTGGCTAAAGCTGAACAATAATTCCTTGTACTTTTAATTCCAAAACAAATTTCAGGCAATTTCTAACGGAATTTTTTTTGTCTTCCAAAAATTATTTTAAAACTCCAAAAGTCAATCATTAAAATTTCCTGACACAAATTTCTGTCCCTATTAATAGTATTTACTAAAGAATCAATTTGCTAAATCACAGAATATATATATATATATATTTATATATATATCATATATATAATATATATATATATATATATATAATATATATATATATTATATATATATATATATTCTTCAAGTGATTGGAATGTCAAACTGAACCCTTTATTTTGCTCACTGAGGTAAACTGTTTTTAGGTTCCTTTGATCTGATCGTTCAGTCAAATCTCGTATCAGATCTCATTTTGGAACACTGATATTTTTCATGTCATTTAAGAAAATTGAAATCAAGGTTTGGACCTGTGAAAAGATCTGAACTAACAATTTTTTCCACCTATGAAAATTAGTTTTTGCTAATGAACTTAAAGGGACAAATTTGATCATTAAAATAAACCGACTTTTAAAATAATTTAATTTTAATTAAAATTTTATGTAATTTACGTTTAAAGTAATAAAAACTTTTTAATATTTACTTCCGCTATTTGATTATTTTTATTTTAATTTGTTTGTCATCAATGAGAACTATCTCCTGAAAGGGTCCCTTTTGTAGATTAAATAAATAGTTTTCTTCAAAATTTTTGGTTTGGTAAATATGATAGACACTCCTGAAGATGGTTTTGTGGGGTGAAGAGCGTTCCAAAGGTTTGAATAATACAATCATTATTTGGATATTAGTCTAAATAAATCAATGTATAATAACGTCATTCGATATTGCTTTTACTTTTTTTTGGATGGACTAGCAAATGGTGTTTTCAAATGTATTATTTCATTATTCCTTTTCTTGCCTTTTTGTTTCTTTATATGTTATACATTGATTGAAACTAAATACTCACGTTTTCATTATACATCGGTTGGTAAGGATTCTTTTTGGCTTCTGTCACATATGACAACAAAGGATCGGGATAATGTATGACGTCGAGTGCTCTTTGAGAAACTATAAAGAAAAAAATTGTATCCATAAGGGAAAACTTAAATTTCTATACTATGACCTTGTCGTATATGCTCTTAAACGATAATAAAAAAGCTAATTTTAAAGCGATCGAGGGCTGCACGTTTTATCTAATAAACACCTTTATAACTGCAGATGGCAAATAAGATTCTTTTTTAAAAACTAATTTACTCCGTACAAAATCATAGCAACCTTTCTTACCAATTTATTTACTGCAGAACTAATGGGATGTGATGGTTTAATCATCTTGTGTTAATAAATAAAGATATTATTTAAGCCTCTTCATTTTTACCTTCTTCCAAATAAAAATACTTATGAACGGTGCTGCAAATTACTTTGTAGAAGTTAAAAGCTAGATATATTAAATATTTTCCAGTAAAATGAACACATTTGTGTTAGCCACGCCGAAATATCCAGACAACCAATTTTTATAGTAGGATCTTACTGGATTATAAAGCATCTGGATAGTCCGTTCGATATCTAATGCCAGGTTTGAAATACTAATTACCGCAAATTAGAGAAAGCAGTTTTGGAATGAAGTTCAAGCAAATTGTCCTTTTCTGAAGCAGTCACTATAGAACTGGTAAAACCTACGATATGCTTTTATGGGTTTAGTAACTCATCAGTTCTCAAAGTTATTTCTTTCAATATCAAAATAGTATAATTATAGATGGCTAGCTTTTCAAACTAAAACCTAAGAATTCAAAGTAATCTTTATACTTTATATGCATACTGGCTACTTTCAGATGTATGAGAAAGAGAATCAACAACAATTTAAGAGAACTTGTCTAGGGAATACATGAAGAGAAATTACGTGTAGAAATAACATTTAATGAAGTTATATTTTCTTTCTTTCTTATGCGCCTTTCATATCATTCTTTTCAAAGACGTTAAGTTGAAATATTGAAGGCCTTTCTGTATCCTGAATCAGATTCAACAAATGTCTGGTATCTTTTTCTCCGTGTTGAGCGTACGTACACGCATACAGCTTAGATAGAGACAAAGAAAAAAAGAGAAAAAAGAAAAGAAAAGAAAAACGAAATTTCCACGACATATGTTTCAATAAATCTTTTGTTTCAAGAACTGAGACAGGCACTTTTTTTTTTTCCTTGGAAAAGTTTAAAAACTCAAATCCTTTCATCATAAAAAAAGTTGTTTTTTTTTTTTAAAGTGAGGGAACCCTTTGAGAAACCGTTGGTTTTATTATGTCATGGAATATCGCCCACGCCCTGAAAGGGCATGGCAAATAAAAGAATGTATATTATTTGCAGTTGTACACTGTAGACGGAAGCGGCTAAACAATAATTTTGAAAGATCCGTAATGAGAATGTTTAAAAATTAATGAAAATCTAAAAATAAATTTGGGTTTAAAGTTCGAACTGCAAATTTAAAAAATGGAGATGGTTTATTTTTTTTTGGAAATTGAACTTTCGAAATCCTAATTTTTATTTTGTTTTCAGAGTTCCAAATATTTATGAACAATAGCCAGATTTGCATATTTTAAGTGAAAAATATAAAAGTTTATTTTTTGAAGAAAAAAGCAAACAACAATAATAATAAATAATAATGATCCTGGATCATAATACTAATGACAATACATATGCCTTTATACCCTAGAGACAATGTAGACACATACTGTCAAGAGAAAAGAGAAAGGAACAGGCAATTTTGAATGGAAGATTGCGTAGACTTTGAATTCAGAGAAATTGAAGTTATAAAAGTAAAAATAAAAATTAGTTACAACAACCAAAAGCTGTAGTAAACTTATAAGAAAAACAAACAGAATACAAAAGACAAACAAAAAACGAGTGTATTTGTCACTGTAGGAAGCAAACGAATGGCATAAATTGGCAGGGTTACGTTGAAGGAAGACAATTACTAAAAAACCTGATTGTTCAGAGCGGATTCTAAATATAATGTATATATTACTGAAATAATATAAAGGCCAGTATAAATAAATCAGGGGAGGATTTTAAATGTCGATCATGGAAATATAAGGACGAGACAATGATATACATTAACAATGAAAAACATTTGAACAAAAAGTGAATTTTTCAGAATAGACATAATGGGTTTTCAAAATTGATTGTTGTGTATGATACACCTAATTTACATAAGTGGAGTACCGACCATATAAATATGGGTTGGTACCGGAAGACGGAGGAAGATAGTAGTTAGAAGAAGATGCAATCCAGAGACTCTGCCCGACTGCGATTTAGTCAACCCATTATGCAGGAACAGTCTTCCCAAGAATATACCAAAACTAACTGTAAATATTGTGTACCTTTTCCTTGTTTCAATACATTTTGTTAACGTACATTTTGTGTTGTATTATTATTATTCCATGCTTATCCAAGTTTCAACAGTGATCCAGTGTGAACTGTGCAGACAAACTGTATTTTGACCATACATACCAACACAGAAATCTAAATCTGTCCTAGAGAATGAAATACATGAAATCTTCTAGGATTTTGAGATTCAAGTGGATCGCCTAATTCAAGTCGGAAGAGTATTTGTAAAGGAGAAGAAAAGAACATCGTGGAATTTCACTTTTCCGCTGTGGTTTAGCACAGCGAAAGCATGAATACGTATCTCAACCGACGTATCAATTGTTGTCGGAGTTCTGGGAACAGTCTCGAAGAGTTTAGAAACAATTCTGAAGGAACTAAAAATTAAAGTGATGATTGAAACCATCAAAATGATAACTAATAAAATCAACTAGAATACCCAGGAGTTACTGTCGCTTGGAATACAGTGAAAACGGACAGTTACTACTGGGTATAACAGTGATAATAACAATAATAATAATAATAAATGCCCCGATGCTACAACAGAGGTATGGCTCTAATGGCTAATTGATTGGAAGTGCTAACATGCAAATGCTTTGTCTTGATAAATGCTTTGTCGTCTCTGTTTGGGCTGGGTTAGTCCACCTGCTAAGCCCCACATGCAAGGTTATGTTTTTTTTTTTTTCAAAACCCTCACCATATCGCGCACCTGATGCATGTGCCTGATATACCCTTATCAGTTTGGGTGTCCTGATGGATATATTGGGTTTTGAATATTTGTAATGCAGCATCACATTGTTAATAATAAAACTAAATTGAAAACATTGGTCGAAAAAGTCAGAATTTTTCGCTGAAAAAAAGGAATGGAATTTGGAGATTTTGTCGAATGTTATCAATGAACATAAAGACTACACATGACAACAGAAACTGTAGCTGAGAACAGGATTAATACTGCATAAAAAAATTAGGAGTAAGAATCCGAAAAAATGGGACGTAAAAAACATCACTTAAAAGACTTCAAGATAAAAACGAAATGCATTGGAGACAAAATGATATCACTGGTGAAAGACCACTCAAAGAAAACTAACTAAATCTCTATTAATAGCAACCGAAAAATATATGTATTGGAACAGAGTATATAAAAACTAAAATAGGCAAAAAGAGAGTCCAGTATTTGTAAACAAGAAGGTTTGGCTGAACCGGTGAAAATCTGTGTTGAGACAAAACACGAACGTCAGTCATATAAGCAAAAATACAATATGTAAGTAAAGATTAAAAAAATAGACATAAAAGTGGGTAGGAACGATTGTCTATAAAGAATTGCGTAGATGATGAAAGAAAATCTATGAAGAACTCATAAGCTATGCCAGAGAAAACAGTAATAAAATTCGATGGGATTTTGAAATTCAAACGGATTTTTCATTTTAAGTCAAGAGACCAGATCTTGTCATCAAGTGTATATAACCGTAACGATTTCACAATCCAAAGAGTGGAATTGAAAGAGGGTGAAGCACTGAAAAAAATATCTGGTCCTTCCAAGAAATTATGCGATATGAAAATGACAAGTATAAGCATCATAAGTGGTGCACTTGGAATAGTGTGAAAGAGGTTTTAAAATAAAAGGAAATAATCGGAAAACATTCAGAAAAAATTATTAAAATTCGCTAGAATATTGGAGAGAATAAAGCCGCATTGTAGAGATTTGGTTTTATCTGATCTCCAGTGAAAGTCAATATCTATGCATATTTATAGATTGATCTTAAGTTTGATTTATCACTCTTGATACTCGATATAAAATTGATCAAAAACTGGGAAATATATATAATTAAAAAATAAAGCAGAAACCAATTCTCTCTTGATGCAGCTATTTCAAAATAGAAAAATTAATGAAGTTTTTAACAAAATAAATTAAATAAATGAATTTATAAGTATGTAAATAAAGCAAAAAACAGTGGAATAATAAAAAATAATTTTTTTTTCTCTTTTTAAATCCATTCTAATATGAGTTTTGTTTCAGTAAACCTGTGATGAGGGATCAAAAGATTTCTTTTGTTGTACATAAGCACATAGCAAAGGTATTTGTTGCTATGACGATAGGATCATTTTTCGGTCATCTCTGGGTGATGAAAATTAGTTTTGGAGATGGGGGCTAAGTCACGTACTTAAAAAAAAAGAAAACATAGCAACAGAAGTTGCTGGTCACGTAGCGGAAGTAAGTAGTTACTGTACAATCAGAGATTATTGTTCAGCCAACCCCCCCCCGCCCTGTACTTGGTGTATCTGAAAACCGGACAAATGTTTGGTTAATTTTCATTAATGAACATTTGACACTAGAACACCGAAATGTGAAATAGAAGGAAATTTGAATATATTATATTTATTTCTTACTAGTCGGTCAGTTTTGTTGTCTTCACTTTTTAACTTTCTTGTACAGAAAACCCACAAGAAAATAAATATATTGTTTTTATTTATTTAGAAGTTAATTATATGCATTTTATTTTTGTTTTTGTTTTGTTTTTTATTTCGTCTTGGTATTATTGTCTAATTCTAATGTTTGTTGTCATTTTCTTTCTATGTTTAAATAATTTATTCGACATTATTTGTACATTATCGTTTTTCACTCTTGTTTTCTAATGTTTGATTCACATTTTCCTAATAGCTTGTTTAGAGAATTTCGACCACAAATAGCTAACTAAAACTAAATGTTAATCATAGTATTAGTATTATTGTCATTTCTTTACTGCTGAATTCTGCGGTAAACTTTGTTGGAGACTAATAAGCATAAAACTTCCTTTCAGGCTTACTGATGGAATTCTAAGCTAATAAATTAAATTTAATATTTTCAATAAGCAAAATACTTTGATGCATTCAAGCCGAATTTAAATTGATTGAATTTTTTTCTGCATTATCAATAAAATCTGTAAAATTGCCCATATTAACAAATCTGTCAACACAAAATATTTTAAAACACATTTAAAAAATAAAGTATACGTTTCTGATACGCTATTTAAGAAAAATTAGCTGGCTTAACGTTTAAATAACCTGAATTTACTTTTAATCTAAACTCTCTTAGTAAAGCATTTTTAACAGTGGTTATTTTTATGAGATGATGACAGGTCTATCGATAGCCTGATATTTTGGAAAATTTAAGTAAGAGGTACATAACTCTAAAAATTACTTGAATACAACGTGAATGCCTTTTTATATATGTATATATATATATATTTAACTAACCAGTAATCTTAAAAATTTAGGAAAATATTCTAAGGAATCTAATATTGAATTTTAGGTATTTCGGCTTTATTGCCTTACTTACTAACTTGCTTGTCGAGAAAATGCTTGTCGAGAAAAGTTATCAAAACATTTTTGAATTTATTATAGTTACCACTCTTGTCTTCTGATAATATTATGCATGGACGCCCGTATTTACAAAAATTGTCAAGTTTATACACATAAAATCAATCGAATAAGGTCGTTGAATTGTAGTGAGCTTTTCTATGATTACTATTGATTACTATTATGATTACTAAATACAATTTTAATTTAATAACAATATCACTTGACCGCTACAAATTAATACAGAATTTTAAAGGATTTAAAAAATTATACATTTTAATTCAAATAAAAAAAAAGAAATAAAACAATTCTTGTAAAAATTCATTATTCATCGAAAAAATGTTTTTGTCTTAAGACATTAGTATACATAATATATCATTATTCATAAAAGCAATTAAACGCTTTTCCAATTAAATAATATCTGAGTTTTATTGAATTTTTTTATTTTACGATTCATGGCAGATTTCTGTAACTGGGGGTCATATTTGACCAAAATATTTTCCCGAATTAAATTATCTTATAACTAAACATTTATAATAAAACAAATATTAAGCACTGCAAAAAAGTATTTCTCGAAATTTCATAAAATTAAATAAGTAACAAATTTTAACAAAGACATTCTAAAAAAGAAACATTAAAAAAAATAATTTCGTTCATTTTTTAGTAAGTTCTGAAAGTTAAAACAATTATTTGATTTTTGCATGCCTTTTCAAATCAATGTGTTTTTCACCGCAAAAAGAACCTCAAATTTCCCCTTCAGATTTATGGTACCGCATTGAAACCAGGAAAACAAGATTTTTAATCAGAATTTCCAAGGTTCGAAAAAAAACATTAATGCTTACTATTCTTTTGAAATTGTTGTGTTCATCTTGATTTACGGATCAGTCACGCGGTGTATGGTTTATCAATGGAAACAATACGAAAGGTCATTGAAGGCAGTAGTTTGGATAAATTATATTGATCATGGAGAATAAGAATCTTTTTTGAAATCATTCGGAATAGGGTATTCCCAAATCAAAATATTGTCAACACTCAGAAGCAAAAGGGAAACTGTATTTTGAACCTTTTGTGAATAATTATGTATTGCTAAGTATGAAGTACAAACAGATTATTCAAAATCATGTATTAAACTTGGATTTTTTTTTTATCATAAAGTTACTTAAAAAACAAACAATCATATAGAAAATAAAACAAATGAACTCCAATGATTAGTACAAAAATAGAACTTACTTGTATTCGTTGAATTCATTTTGGATTCACGTCAAAAATATAAAATAAGCTGTTCTTTTCGCCGACAGTTGCAAAATTCCTTTGTTGGATTTAATCAGGCTTAAGGAAAAGAAACTAACGATAAATGATGTGGTTATTGGTGTAAACGACGATACGTTTGCAAAGAAGGAGGAAATCATACGTTCTTGTAAGTTTAACAAAGCACAACTGGCTTTACAACGTACTTACACCTTTTTTTTATAGCGACGCGCGTCCTTCAGAGGTGCAATAAGAGTCACACGCATATCACCCTCTCTTCTGTTTGTACGAACCCACTTCCAATTTCAGAAACCATTGACCATTATATCAAGCTTCCCATTCGAGGTTTTGACAGATGTAGACACACACTTTACCGTCTTGCCGTCTGCACTATGAAAGCGATAGTTAATTCTTTTCTGGACACTAATAAAGTTAATGTCTGTTTCATATTAGTAGACGACTATATATCATTAAAAAATGTAAAGATTTTCCAGACATTTTAAACACATAAGATTATATGTATGTATGTGCGTTGTTAATAATATGCTATATTTATAGATGAAGAGTGTTCAATATAGGAGATATAACGTTTAGAGATATAGACAATGTGGACAGAGGAATCAACACTGAGTGATGACTGTCAGTTTTACTCTGTGTCCACATTCTTTCTCTCTAATATATATATATATATATATATATATATATATATATATATATATATATATATATATATATATATATATCCTAACAAGGTTTGTCTGTTTAATCTTTTAGTTCATTTTTCCAATTTTGGAATAAGATGTATACCGGGATTGAAATTGTGGATAAACGTTCTGAAGTTCATATTTGTTCTGTTCACGTATTTTCGGCCGTCTCGGTCTTTATCAAGAAACGGCTGTTGTTATAGTGGTCGACAAGGTTCCGTTGGCTACATCTAGACATTTTTACAGAGCTGAAATTTGAATCTGCCCAGCGTGCTATCATGTAAAACAGTAAAAACGAACGAGACTGCATAATAAAAAGCATGAATAATACACACACACACACAAACACACACACATTACAAAAGGTGTTAGGAAATAATTCTTTCTTTATAATTATGTTTTTTATTAATTCAACATGGATTAAACATCTTGAATATACTTTTACTAGACACATACATTGATGCACGAGCATTGCTATGAAATAAATGTAAATATTTGTAAGAAAGCCAATAAAAGTAAAGCGAGAAGCATGAAAATTCAAATTGTATTTACCGTTCTTAAAATTTTGAAATAAAATTTAAAAAAATGAAATAATGAAGAATTATTTTTGTACAACAGAAACTAATTCTACTATTAAAATACAGCTATAATAAAGTTAATAATATTGTTACTGCTTAGTACTAACTTTAATCAGTATGATTAATATTTGAGGAAGTTCTGACATGTTTGGGAACGTGAATAGGATGTTGGACATGGGTTTGGCTGTTAAAGTGAGACATATTGGCTGTTGTTATCTGCTTCCGACCTCTAGTTATATTAGAAACGTAGTAAAAAAAAAATTAATGAGGTATTTTATTGTCGTTAGAGACAATACGAAAATAAAATAAAAATGAGGTTGTGTTTATTTGTTTCAACTCTCAATCCCAAATGAGTGTCGCAGATTTTGATCCGTCTGAACACGGTTCTCTGAGTAGCACCTCTCTATTGAGTCTAAAAGGGAAGACTATTGTATTCCGTTGACCATGATTATCATCAATGTTCCTCAGGTAATTTTTAAACATCCACATTAAATAAATGACCGTATCGTGGTTCATAATACATAGTGATGTGAAAAAAGATCTTTCTAAAATAACTGATACTATTTCAGCGATGCGAATAAATAACATAGTGTTTTAGGGAGAGATCGTTTTGTGTATCTACTCGTACCTTTTCTGCAACACATATGATCAAAATGCTTTGTCTACATGATTTCTAAAGTAGGGTCTCAAGTCACGATGGATTAATTTTTAAGATATCTTCATTTTCATTGGGATGATGAAGTAAATATCTCAGACAACAATTTGGATTCGGAAACTAATTGCTTTGTTTAATACCGGTTAACCATCAGAATTGATAGCAGTTTTGGTATGCATAAAACGTACGTGACAGGAATCATTAACGTATGTCGGGAAATAATCATATTAAGAGGTCATCCACATTTTATAGTACGGTCAATTTTTATTTGTTGGGAAGAGGGCTAAGTTGTGTAATGGAAAAAAATTTCTGGTAATAAAAATAAAGTGAAGAAAAACTTGGGAAATAATAAGCTTATATCGTGACACATTAGGTGACAATGTAACAAAAACTAAAAGTAATGTGTAATAGAAATTTGTCCTTTGCTTATAAATTATATGAAATTTTCTCACAACTTAATGAGATTTTCATTATACATATTTCTTTAATTATTTCACTCCATGCAAGGCGATAAAAGGATGCAAAGGGTTATCGAGAATGAAAGAAACTGAGAGAAGGCAAAAAAAAAAAAAAAAATGGACAGGATTCAAGACGACAGATTAAGATCGCATTTGACGGGAAGATAGGAAGCCGAGAGAGATTTCTACAAGTGAGAAGTGTGGGAGAAGAAACTATTAGCATAGAACTTACGGTTACAAATAACAAGTGCAACAGTGAAATTATGAGACCTAGATATCAATCTAGTAGAGTGATTAAAGTCGAGGAACCAAAGGGGAAAGCTCGTCAGAATGATTACCGTAAAAAGATTTATAGAAGAGGTAAAATAAAGCTACACTACGGCGTGTGAAAGTGACTGAAGTCGAGATGACAAGTCAGGACAGATAACGTTGCCGATTGTTTGAATTTTGTCAAAAATCTTTAGATATATAGCAGAAGCACCAAACCAGATGTGACAGCAACATTCAATGTACGGGTGAATGGTAGACTTAGAAATATACAAGATAGATTCCGGCAAGAAAAATTGTTTAGCACAACATGGTGAACAGACATTAATAGCAGTAGAATTAGCAACTGACTTAATATAATCATTCCACATCATGTCAGTGAAAGTCGCAGTGTATTAATCTCCTGGAGGTTAGAATCAGAAAGTAAAAAAGGTTCTTTAATCTGATTAATAGAGAGCATTTTCGTTTCAGAGGCGTTAAAATTAACAGACCCGTTCTTGCGCCAGTTAAAAACTGATTTAAAGTCATTTTCAAGATCAGCTGCTCAGTTGATTGTACTGAATCTATCAGATTCACTGTTAAGAAAGATGTAAATAGTTGTGTCATTAGCATAGAAATCGAGCTGGGAACTGATGATATGAGGATATGAAGGAGGTCGTTAATGAAAATAAATAGAGTGAAACCAAGAATAGGACGCCCGCATTAATGCAAAAGGATCTAGAGGAGTGGCCACTCAAGATAACTTTCAGTACGTGATTTAGTAGGAAAGATTACATTAAATCAAATAAACGGCTAGAAACTTCAACTTGTGAAGAAGACCAGCATACCAAACACTATGAAATGTCTTCGAAATACACAGTGTGTCCGCTCTCTGTCTGCCTGCCTGCCTGCCTGCCTGCCTGTCTGTCTGTCTGTCTCTCTCTCTCTGACTGCATTTGCCAACCTACGTATTTTAATTTTAAATTTTTTTTCTTCCTGTATGTGAACTAATTTAACGTATTTAATTGTGTCCTAATTTATCTAACCTAATTTGTAACCACGTATGTTCGTTTATTTGGAAACTCCTGTTTGAAAGAAAAAAATGTCTTTGACTGCCGTTGAAAGTACGTCGCCATTATTCCTATGTCCGAGTTGGCCGAAAATCTTGCCAAATATAATATCTGAACGAGGAATCGTGCAGCCGTGTCTTTCTCCCCGTTGTTTTTAATATTATTGAAAACAAGTCCCCAAGCCCATGTTGGGGAAGTGGGAAAGGAATGCCCGCTGGAAACCCTTCTCCCCACCCAGCTCTGCGTTCATTGAAAGAAGCAGCTTGGTGAAAGGTAGTCTCAATCCTCGCTAGTGACCATGGGAATGAAAGCGGACGAACGTGAACGCATGCTGTCATTAGTGTGTCGGCGTTTATGACATGTCCACAAAACTGGATAACCATACTTTCTTTCATTTTTCTTTCTTTTTTAGAATAGGACAATTGGACTTATACTAAGTTAAAACTTAGTATAGTGAAAGTGTAAATTACAAATAAAATAACATTCCCATCCCCCAGTACATATGTCTCCTAGTGTCAGCCTGGACACTTTGTCAACTACCTCCCCCTCTGTTCTTTTTTGATATTGTTGTTTTTGTTGTCGTTGTTGTTGTTCATGTCCTACGTAATAGGAGTAGGTAGGCTTTCCTACCGCCCGGTGAGTACTCCCCCCCTTCCCTTGAACAAGTTTAGAGGCTCACACCTTGTTTCTTGTTTAGGAAGGGGTTCCCGGAACTCTCTCTCTCTCTCTCTCTCTGGCCTCTGTACAAGTGCTGACGTGTTTCTCCCGTGATGTGTGCAGTCTGTGGCATTACCTCTTCATTCTGAGGGTACACGGTTGACAGTTTCCTGGTTGCTGTTTCCGACTGGTAGTTAGGAGCCCTAACTCTTGCGTAGCGTCTTGAGCGGCCGCTCTGATCAACAGTTGTATAATACCGGGGTGTCTGTAGTGCCATGTCGCGCATGGAAAGGTGTCCCTGCAGTCACTTCCGGTGGGCAACCCTGAGGCCACATTATGATGCAGGCTTTGCCAACTTCTCTCTGCCCACGTCACGGCCGATAACCGTCTGCTTCTTTTACTTCAGGCCTTCTCATCTTCCAACCAGAATTCCACATGATGACTTACAAAGATCGAAAAATTAAACCTAAACCAGCCCTTCAAAAATCACCCAAACCCTTCAACATTTCATTCTCCAACATCCGTGGCATTAGAACCAATTTCTGCAGCGTGGAATCCTTCCTCACTGCAAACTGCCCGGATATTCTGGCTCTGTGTGAGACCAACCTTGACCCGTCTATCCCCTCCTCTGAT